TATTATTATTATTTATCCCCCAATTTATTCAGGTGGAGTCTGTCTTTGGAGTCAGGAATTAACTCTTTGCACCAATAGTCCTCAGTCCTTATCAGTCACATCTGGTTTAGAGCAGCGGTGTTGCAAAAAGACAAAATAAAAGTCAAAAGACTTTGGTTTGGTTCATTGTTACAACGTGACCTCACTGTCCATGTCCTTGCAACCTTCTGATGGGCTGGAAAGCATGACCTGGAGTTGAGAAAAAGATTGCTCATTCTGGAATAAATGGAGGGATGTGAAAAATGAGCTCCAATGGGGAGTGGCATTTTAACATTTTATTTGGGGTTAGCCAGGTAAAAAAGAGGCAGGGATTCAATCATGTGGACCAGTGGTGGGATTCAATTTTTTTTACTATCGGCTCTGTGGCCGTGGCTTGGTGGGCGTGGCAGGGGTAGGTTATTGGGAAATCCGCATTTCCTCCCAATCAGCTGGGACTCGGGAGGCAGAGAATAGATGGGGGCGGGGCCTGCCAGAGATGGCATTTGCCGGTTCTCCGAACTACTCAAAATTTCTGCTACTGGTTCTCCTGAACTGGTCAGAACCTGCTGAATGTCACCTCTGATGCGGACAATATCTTGACATCTTCTCCCCACAGCTGCCCTACTCCATATGTTCAGTTGTATGTCCCCACAGCCTCCCCAAGTGATTTGGCATTTTTTGCTTGAGTTTGCACATGTTATTAATAAAGAGAGGACTTATGAATTGGCAAAGCTCTCTATGGTTTTAAGATAAAGACAGTCCTGTCCCCAAGAGAGGGACAGAAAAGAGGGCCCCAGGGAATGCCCTCCCCCATGATACGTGGATGGAATCCAGCCTCAGTCCCAAGGAGTGCTCGCCTGCATTCCTCAAAGCCGAACCTAGTGGTTGATAAAGAGGGTCACAGATCAGTGGTGAAATTCATTTTTTTTTACTACCCGTTCTGTGGGCGTGGCTTGGTGGGTGTGGCTTGGTGGGTGTGGCAGGGGAAGGCTCCCGCAAAATCTCCATTCCGTCCCCTCTCTGGGGCCAGCCAGAGGTGGCATTTGCCGGTTCTCCGAACTACTCAGAATTTCCACTACTGGTTCTCCAGAACCTGTCAGAACCTGCTGGACTTCATCCCTGTCACAGATACTCACCTGACCCTTTTCCCCAGCCAGTCTTCACCAAGATTTCGTATCTGTATAGCCCGTTCTTCCCACAGAAAGGGATCGACCCCACACGACCGATGTCTATCAGATCCAATTTGTGGACAATCACAGCTGCCATGGAGTAGGTCACCAGACAGACAGCGCAAGTCAGCAGAACGATGTAGTTGAGCCCAGGGCCGGGAGGCTGAAGGGAAAGGCAGTGCACATTTCAGAGAACGGTGACTTCCTGCTGCTTACCAGGTCAATGTTCAGCCGGCGCTTAAATCCACATTTCAGATGAATTTTGGCAATAACAGATCTGAATACGCTACCTATATCACCCTACCTATATCACCATTAAAAAAAACCCCAAAAATTGGGTTTAAATTGTACTATATACTATTTTACCCTTTGGATATTTTCAGGACGTCCAATAATGTATTGTTAATTTCCTCCCAATTGATAATCTGGACATTGGGCGTATGTGTATCTGTGTGTGCGTGTGCGCTCAATATTCAGATTATCAATTGGGGGAAATTAACAATACATTATTGGACATCCTGAAAATATCCAAAGGGTGAAACAATCATTCTGGCTGCTTCTGTGCCACCTGGCTAGGAGTGGATGGAGAAGCCGAGAATCAGACTTCGATCCAGCGCAGGGAACAAGAGGGGAGATTAAACCTTCGTCTTACGAGAGAGTAATGGGTTAAGGCTGGAAGGTAAGAGAAACCCCGAAATATTTCTCCCTTGCAAGGAAGGGCATATCCAGCCTAGAAATGATCTTGCTGAAAGAGGGGCGAGGGATACAGACCGTCCTCGACTTACAACAGTTCATTTAGTGACCGTTCAATGTTACAATGGCAGTGAAAAAAGTGACTGATGACCGTTGCGATTTCACACTGAACGGCCAGCATTACCATGGCAACGCTTGGCAATTGACTCGTATTTATGATGATTGCAGAGTCCTGGGGTCACACGATTACCTTTTGTGACCGTCTGACAAGCAAAGTCAACAGGGAAGATATTAACTTTAACAACTGCAGGGATTCACTTAACAGCTGTGGCAAGAAAGGTCGTTAAATGGGGCAGAATTCACTTAACAAATGTTTCGCTTAGCAACAAAAAATTTCAGGGCTCAATTGCTGTCGTAGGTCGAGGACTTCCTGTTCAACCCTCAGGTTTTATAAGAGGAGGCGGTCACAAAATGTGATCACATGACCTCAGGACACTGAAACCATCAAAAATACGAATCAGTTGACACTTCATTGCCCATTTGGGCACAATTTCTACAGGCGCCTCTGGCTGAGGGTCTCCAGGGCACCAGAAGGAGCAGAGACACCCTGGGCACAGAGAGGAGGAGGGGTGATGGCAAAGGGGTTGTGGATAGAGGCTCTGACCCCTCGTAACTTTTCCAAGGGCACAAGAGGAATCCACTCGGAGGACCTAGAACAGCTTGGGCTGAAATGTTATAGAAGGGAGCTTGGACAGGACGAGAGTTTGCACACTCCTTGCTTGTGGACAATTTGAGATTTCCAAATATCGCTCCCCACCCCCAAATAGGGGAGAAGCATGCCCAACTCTGGAAAGAAATAGGAAGTCGAGGCATGGGCACAGCAGTTTGCACAAGAAAAGCCCTCCCAAGCAGCAGGGGATAGGAAGGAACCCATCCTTGCCACTGGGACAGCCACTGAAGGTGCTTCAGGAGCGCAACAAGTGAAGGGAGGAAAGACCCCCTCCTTTGGTGGGCCAAGGACCACAAAGCAGTGGGTGAGGGTCCCGTCTCCAAGGGAATGCCCTCGGCAGGCCTTTGCTTTCCAGCCTGGCCTTGTTGTGCACCCCAAGAGCTGTGATAGTTGGGGTCTTCATGCAAACCTTTGGAAACAAGGAAGATGAGGCTGCTCCCAAGTGGTGCTGCTTTTGAGTTAATTCTTAATTATCTTATAGTACACACTGATCATATTGTCTGGGAAGAAATAAAGAACCATTATATATAGCCACAATAAAGGAGGAGAGCCTGTGGTTTAGAGCCAAGGTGGCGCAGTGGTTAAATGCAGCACTGCAGGCTACTGCTAGATCAGCAGTTCAGCGGTTCAAATCTCACCGGCTCAGGGTTGACCCAGCCTTTTATCCTTTCGAGGAGGGTATAATGAAGATACAGATTATTGTGGGCAATATGCTG